ATCTATTTTGAAATCACGCATAAGATAAGCATTTTTACCAGTTTTGTTGATTGAATATAAAACATCATTAAGTTTGGTTTCAAAAATTTCAAAGTTTCCATTTGGAGGTCTATAAATAGTTTCTATGATTATATTTTTTTTCAATCGTTCATGTTATTTCAAAGAATAGGCCTATAGACTCGATTATACCTGTTACACTTACACTTAAATCAGGTCGCATTTTAAAATTAAGTTTATTGGAAACGTACGTACATTCCTACTTCTCCACCGTTCTTGTGATTTCTGTTTTTACTAACGAAAGTATAATCATCTAACATGAAGTTTTCACAGTTTTGATCATTTAGCCATGTTTCAGACAGCGCAATTACAGAGAAAGATTGTTTTAGAGTGTTTAATAAATGCTTGAAAGAGTCGAATTTGTTAGATATACTTCTTATATTTAAATGCAGAATAGAGAATTTGTTATTTGCTGTAATGTTTGTGGTTACGTCATATGGAAAAAAGTAGTCACAATTTATGTTATCTAAATTCATTGATGAATTCGTATTGATTGCATCAGGGTTGGTGCTTATATTTTCGTCAAATGGATTAAAATTGAGTTCTGAAAGTCTTTCGATATCATTGTCATTTGGTATTAGATTATAGTTCCCAAAAATAAAGTTAAATTCAGGATTATCAATAGAACTAAAAGATAATAGGGTACTAACGCATTTTTTTGCACATTTTGATTCCAGTTTCCTGTCGCGTAAAGTAGGACGCGAATTATCACAATCATGAAACCAGCTTTTACATGTTTCGCACTTAAAGATTGATTAAATTTTGTGAGATGCAACTAATTTAGGATAGTTAGAACAGATATTTGCATGGTGTGTTAGACATACTTTAAGTTTAAGGTAATAAAAAGTTGCGATTCAACCTTAAATGTTCAACGATAAACTAATTTTGCTTGTATTCGACCCCACGATAAACAGCTTGTCGCGCACCAGGTGCACTCTCTTCTTAGCTAATTTTGCTTTCATCGATCATTTCTGGATATAACTTCCTTCTGGTTTCTTCAATCTCTTCGGGAAATTGTCCAGAGATTCCAATTTCGCGACAATATGTCTCGGCTTACAGTGTTGGTTGTGGTGTTGCTTGCCAAGTCTATGCGCTCGACCGATCTTGATGCTATGAGTCGCGTCTTGAATTTCTCATTTTTCTCCCTATAGTTTATGTATCATCTTTGTAGTGTCCTCATTTTCTTCCTCTGGCATATTGAAGAATAATAAGTTATCCCGCATAGATCTGGCTTTGAGATCAATTACACTGTCTCGAAGTTAATTATTAAGAAAAGTATTCTAGTATTTCCTTGACCAAATCTTTGTTTAGCGAATGAAATAATTTAAAAACTTGTATCTAAAAATGCCGAAAATCAGGTACCCCGACATTTTACCAAAAGACATGCACTTTGCCGAAAGACATTTTGCCAACGGACGTTTTGCCGAGCGGACATTTTGCTGAACGGACATTTTGCCGAAAGGACAACTTGCCGAAAATAGAAATGTTATTTCGTCAAAATGTTTGGGACTATGATTCATTTCTCAACTGTGTAGTTCTCAACCATTGTGTAAGACCCCGTTGACACGCAGTGTCATGTGTTCGCCTGGTACCGTGTAAACAAGGTCTAAAACAATGGGTCATTAGCAGTCCGTAGTGCTCGTTAGCAGTGCATGACCATATTGACTATGGGTAGCTTGTTTTTGCAGCGCATGACTCATTTTTTAGGAACGTATTTTGATGTCAGGTTGTAAACAAGCAGGCGTATAAACGACAATGACGTAAGCGAATTTCACTTCGAGAATCATGGAATACATTCAAATTTCTCGGGGAAATCACATTCATGAATGATGTTGAATCAAGGAAGCACGCCAGAACTATTTGTGTAAATTTATACTAACCTTTTAATTACATGTATTTATTAAATGTTTTCATTGGGCCCCATTTTGAGTGTTGAAAGTGGTATATATATTATTAGCTTATCGCAGGCGCGATAATTTATGTTCATCTTTGACATTAATTTATGTTACACGATGATACTCCGAAGGGCGACCGAGAAAGATCCAAAATTTAAAATCCGGCGAGAAAAATAAAAAATGAAGATGGGAGTGAAACGGCCGAACACGTGATGGGGTATTGGCCATTGACAATGCGTATGTCCAATTTCGTTATCTGGCCATGCTCGTTGATCAAGAACTGTCAAATACTCAAATCTATCAAAACTTGAATTGATTTCCATCTTGGCTCGCCAGCAGGGAATTTTCGACAGCAGAGAAACAAAAACATTTGCGAATGCTGGACACAGAATACAGTATTAATAATTCATGAAGAAAATTCAAAAGAAAGAAATGTTTAATCAAAGTTTGTAAATCGATCGGATAAAAGATTTGTAAATTGTCCTCATTTACATAAACTTCAGCTTCGATTTTCTCAGCTTAGACAATATTTATTTTTAAAATTACTTCGCCAATGAACTCATATGATGCGTTTTCTTTTAAGCACGTTAAAGCATGAGCAGCCGATGTTTATCTGATATACAAACTCTCGCCATTATCCCCAACTTTAATACTATATTCCATTGTGACTCGCTTGAACTATAAAATTATAGTAGGTCAATTATAAAACAACGGTAACTCCGAAAAAAAATAAATTATTTTTGGAGTTACCGTTGTTTTATATTATATTAAAATACTCAATGGTTCCCGTAATAGTAGGTATCATTTTGTTTCAGGTTTGTTCCTAACAACAACAAATGTTCCTAGCAACAGTCAACCAGCATCAGTGGATAATAACTCGGCCGTTTCACTCCCCCTCTTTATTTTTTATTTTTTCTCCGCCGTATTTTAAATTTCGGATCTTTCTCTGTCGGCCTTCGGAGTATCATCGTGTAACATAAATTAATGTCAAAGATGAACATAAATTATCGCGTCTGCGATAAGCTAATAATATATACCGCTTTCAACACTCAAAATGGCGCCCGATGAAAACATTTATTAAATACATGTAATTAAAAGGTTCGTATAAATTTACACAAATAGTTCTGGCGTGCTCCCTTCGTGGAATGATGTTAATCTTTATGTCGCGAAATTTCGGTAAACTTGAAAGAATATATATAAAACGAATTATACTTCACTATGGCAAAGTTTCTGTCATCAAAATCGACAATGACTTTAATCACACAAATTTGGACCGTATAAGCGAACCTTTAAAGTTCAGAAGATATCTCTATTTTCGGCAAGTTGTCCGTTCGTTAAACTGTTCGTTCGGCAAAAATCCGTTCGGCTAAATGTCCGTTCGGCAAAATGGCCGTCGCCAAAATGTCCGTTCGGCCAAATGTGTTTCGGCAAAAATTTCTTTCGGCAAAATCTCATTCGTCAAAGTGTCTTTCGGCGAAATGTCCGCGGCCACCGAAAATCAAGCCCCAGACACCTGCAAATACAAAATTTTTCTGGGCCAGACAAGTTCCATTTTCTCTTTCTTTTGATGGCCCCTCCGCTGACAAATTCTTAAAAGAGGCCCTGAATACACTACCATATCATGGAAACTGCCTGACCACCGACGATCAACATTCAAAAATATACCTCTCCTATTGCGTACTGCAGCTTTACATTGATTGCGTATTTCATCTTGAAACTAATATGGTCGACCGTGCGGGTTTTCTTGTAACCTGAGTATCAGGCTCTATTTTACAAAAAGAGCCTGACACAAAACTTAACCTGATCGCTTTCCGCCCACAGCAAAGTTTATATTTAGTATCCAATCAAAATGTTGCGGGAGAAATTTAAATTTCATACAACGACAACAACAATCTAATTATAGCATAGGCAGCCCACTAAACGGCTGAATTTAAATTAAAACTGCAATGAACATATAAAATTAACAAAAATAATCGCAAATTAGCGAAATATATTGCAAATGTAGCTTATATTAAATCGCCACCCGATTGCTCTCTCCTTCGCAGAGGTTTCAGTGACTACAATGAGCTTTACATGGCGCTTGCCGTATTTATCAACGAACTGACGTATAATTATAAAGTATACATATATATTAAGTATACGTCAGTTAGTCGATAGTGCAATCTGATGGCGATTTAATATAAGCTACATTTGCAATATAATTTGCTAATTTGCGATTATTGTCTAATTTTACTGCAGTTTTAATTTAAATTCAGCCGTTTAGTGGGCCGGCTATAATTGTAGTTGTGATCGTTATAAAATCGATCAAATCAGCCAATCAAATGACAGATTTAAAAAATCGTTTGTCTAATCGGCCAATCAGCGCTCAGTCCAGATTCTGGACTGAATAACCAGGCAAAATGTCGCTTTTGTGTCAGGCCGTACTTTCCTCCCCTTCGCCCGCGATCAGACGTGCCTGTGCCCTAAAAAGTACGGCCTGATACTCAGGTTAGTTTTCTTGAGACTGTGCAATGGGGATGTGTGTACCATCCACACAATCAAATGTTATTTATTTTCCTTTTGGTTAATTGATTGACTCATTTCCTGTTCTGACGAAGGAAGTGGGCAAAGGTCACGCTCATCAACCAAAACATATATGACCACAATGTTGGTAATTTTGGTCACTCTGCCTTTTAGGCAGCGATCAAAAATCTTCATATTACTGTTTTATTTTGACTGGGGGGGAGCTTAGCCCCTAAATTTACTGGTTGCATGCATAGAGTTTATTTGAAAAAAATTATTTTCAAATTTATATAATATAAAAATTTGAGTTAGAGATATATAGTATAGAAATATAACTGTACATGTTGTAAGTACTTGTCTTTCCCACAGGCCAAGCCATCAATATTTGTCTAACAAGGGAGATTACAGCATCCAGTGGACAGATTAGGTCGCCTAACTATCCAAGCAACTACTGCTCACACACTTATTGTACCCTCACAATCAAACAACCCTTGGACACAAACTTTACTTTCACTTTCACCAAGCTTGATATTGAGAGTTATCATAATGACGGTAGGTAACGTAATTTATGTTAAACTTTATGGCATGTTTTAAATCTGCGCAGCTAATTGGGAAACTCCGACGACTGAGATTTGCATGTAATTATTAATGCTGATAAAATCATTGGGCATATATTGCCCAAGGACAAATTGATTAATTTTTATTAAATTTGAATGAAGATTGGATGAGAAATAAGTAACTGTTTTCCAGGCCTAGTAAACTATGCACTGTACATAAACTGACGGAGTTATGCAGTCTCTGAGTGCCCTGTAGTTTACATATTATTATTTATTTAATATATACAATATCCACTCACTTACTTTACAGAATTCAACTGTCATGATTACCTCATTATATCTGGAGGTTCATCAAAAAAATTCTGTGGGACCACCACTCCGGCACCATTTGTACCTAGCCTGAACGTCGTCACACTGGAAATGGTAACAGATGGTAGTATTGAAGAAAGCGGTTTTGATCTCAGCTTCACCACCGTCCAGAGTAAGCAATAGTTTCGGTGTGTTCAGGGGCGGCAGAGGGAAATAAGGCGTCAGCAGACTTGTCTTAAATCGGGATGGAGGGCGCCAGACAAATCCCAGCTCCTATATTAAAGTCACTTTTGCTTTACTCTGACTTAAATGTGGTGACAAGGGTTGTAAAAATTACCCAAAAACTAATGAGTAAAATTTGCTTTTCCGGAAAAGTAATTATGATAAATTCAAATCTTAATTCCTTCAAAAGTTGCTGCAGATCACGTTTTGCTTAGGTGATAAAAAGATTGGATTACCGAACAGAATCTACATGTACCTAACCGACATTAAAAAAACAAGTCTTATAATTGAACTGAATTTAATTTGTTATTTAATTTAAGTAGAAAAATTTCTGTGTAGTTGCATGACCAGTTATGACCCTCGACAAACATGCAACTTCAAAGCCATTTTCTTCTGAAATTTCCAGATATGGCGAGTTTGGAAAAAAATAAAAAGTACACAGAAGTGACGCGAATTGCTTTCTTCAAAATGTTACTCGTTACATTAAAAAAGTAATAATTAATCGAAAGTAATTTGTGATTATTACAACATTGGTAGTAAAATAAGGCTCAGATTGAAAGTTTAAATTGATTTTTAATTGTGCTGAGTCAAGCAATATTTCTCTTGGGCCTATAACCTTTTCTTGTTCTCGGAATCAAAATCTTTTCCGATTATTTCTTGAAATTATCTAGCGGTTTTCCTCATTAGTTTTCAGTAACATCAGCATGTATACAATATTCTGCGCATGTTCATTGGGGCTGGTTGTACGAAGATCGAATATCTAAAGTGATTTCGTCAACCGTTGTGAAAATTACGAATATCGAACACAATCAATAAACACTAGAATTTTATCTGGGTTAGAGCAATAAACGAACTTTTTTAGAATACTTGAAAAATCGCTATCTTGTGGATAGCGTTCTGCTCACCTTTCGTACAATTTATTGGTGGGGAAAAATACATCAATATTTCTAATACCTATCACAAAATAATTTGATATATGATCCTGTGTATATGGAATACTCCTATCTTTATTTTTTCTAGCAACTGGTTTACCCCCAGCAGTGAGTGTGTGTCCGACCAGATCAATCATCCCCAGTGCGATTGGTCGTGTCCATTCGCCTGGATTCGCTGGTAACTATAGCGCCAATCTAAACTGTAAGCTTACCCTGAATGTGCCTTCAAGTAAGGTTGTTGAAATTTCCTACAACCATGTTGATATTGAATGTAAGTGTAAAACAGTAACAATATATATTGTTATATAGTTAGGTATATACTATAGAGTTTTTCTCACATAATCTGAATGCCTCTCTCCACTTCGTCTCGGGAAACATTGCGACTCTCGGGAAAACAAAACGAAACAAAACAGAACAGAACACAACACAACAAAACACAACACAACACAACACAACACGACACAACACAACACAACAAACTCATCACTGCCGGTGAAGTGGCTGACTGTGATTGGCTGAGAAGCACTTTATTAGCAGTCCATTATTTTCCCGTAATCGACCGTCGGTCCATTACGTAAAAACCAGCGAATGTAATTTAAAGGACCTTAACTCGCCGCGAGATAAGGCGAGCCTATGCGAGTTAAGGCGAGATAGGGCGAGTTAAGGAAAAATCTGGCTACTGACCCTTGCGAGTTAAGGCGAGATAAGGCGAGTTAAGGAAAAATC